ATATAAAATCAAATCAAATTTCGAACTTTATAGAAAAAAAAAATGCTAAAAAGATTGTAAAGCATTTTAAAACTCAGTTTAGCATGTTTCCACTTTATTTTACTCTAAGTGATGAAATAATACGTTATTTTATCGAGAAAAAATCATGATAAAGTGCTGGCCAAGTTCTTTGCATGCATAGAAATAATGTTCAATGCATTACCAGCACATTAATATATATTATTCAGTTAAGAATCAAAATATTTATGCATGTAAACATAGAATAATTATTTTAAAATTCTGAAAATAGTTAAAACAATGCTTTATTTTTAGTAGCAATGTTGATAATCATTTAATCAATGTTTTATAAAAATTAACAATAACTTGTTTGAATTCAATACAAGTTACCGATAGAGTTCTGATGAAGGGACATTTCCAAAAATGACTTAATTGTGCCGGGTATCACTAAAATAATAAAGAATTTAATTTAAGGCCTAAATTTCAGGCGACGTTTGAAGAATACAGGTACAATTTGAAGCGAACTATATGGACTGCTTAACTGGTCTGGGAGCCAACGCGTAACTAGAAGGTCCTGGGTTCAACTCCCGGTAGTGAAAGAAAATATTTTTGCTGAGAATCGTTTTGAGTTAGTTGTGGCGTCGTTTATTTGTATTAAAAAATTGGAAAAGTGAAGGATTCTCTAAATTAGGACTTTATTCCAATTTACATTGCTGCAACAGAGAATTTTATTGAATAATGAATAATTTATATTAAAAAAGAACTATTTTGAATTCAAAAATCGTTTCGATGAAAAATCAGTTATTTATTTGGATTACTCCTGTGAGAATTTTTTATAACATAGATACGAGAAAAAGTTTTTTCAAACTCCTTGATGGAGGGAAGATTATTCATGGTTTTCGTTAGTTATTGCCAAACAAACTTTATCGACAAACGTCATCGAGGTCGTATATGAAGTTTACATAAAACTAGTTTTTATTTAATACTACACACAATGAAGAGATTTCTTTTTTATTTCCTGAAATATAAAAAAAAGATTTCTGCAGAGCTTTTTTTCAAGAAAAGGGAACTAAAAGCAGCACTGATTAACATAAAATTATCATATTGTTTTATATTAATATTCTAAGAGAATAATTACTTTTACAACTCAAGAGATAAAAGATAATGATTTAGATGATAAAGATAATAAAATAAAATATCTTATCAACTTTTGGATTTAATTGTTAAAATTTATCTGAAGTTTTTGTTGAATTAAATACAAATAATTTTGTCAGAAAAAATTGGAAGGATTAAATTGGAAAAATGAGCTTAAAAAAGATCTATTATTCATCTGAACATTATTATATATTTTCAAAGTTCAATTTTTTATATTACTGCATTATTCTCTTTGCAAATAAATTTTTATTATCCAAGTTTGATCAGTTAAAGTATAAATACAATGGAGATAAAAATTTTAAATCGTTGCCTTTCTTTTTTTAAATCAATAAAATTTTTCAATCAACTATCAACTATAGTGTTAATATTAAAAAAATAATTAAGTTTGGGAATTTATAATTACTATTGTTATGAAGATAAAGAACAAAGTAAAAAACAAGATTTCACTAAGCTGTAGCGAATTTTTTTTTTCTGTAAGCATTGTACAATATTTGCTTACAAAATTTCAACACAATAAAAATAAAGTTGAAGCGCTTGTAGTCTATACCTTTCTAAAACACAAGGGAGGTCTTGTTATACTTGATTATATACTGCATATGTATACATACTCTATCCTTTCAATTCTCCAATTATTCTTCTCATATATTTTTTTCTATTCAATCACTTTACACAATTTTCACAAAACAAACACACGTTTTTATCAAACTTTTCTGATTTTTATTCCTCCAACTAGGGTTTTTTAATTCTATTTTAAGTATACAATTAAAAATATCGTGAACTGAATAGTTTACTTGAATGGATAAAAAAACAACTTAATCGAATGTAAATTGAAATAAAGTAGAAACAAAAAAATGGAAAAATAGAACATGTTTGAAGACAAATTATTGAGTAAACTAAATAGAAGTTTTATATCTATTTATATTATTTTACTTGTAATTGTAGCATTCTGCTATTGCTCAATACTTCATTAGGGAGGTAATGTTTCTTCAGTGATTTAAGTGATGTTCGATTTCATTTACTTTATTTAAGAAAGTGAACCAATAAATTTTATGAATTGTCCGGATTTTAGAGAAATAAGAGTGTGGGCACTAGGAAATGATAGGTTTGAATAGGGAAATCAGAAGAATAATTATTAAGAAGACAAGAAGAAACCAGGTATGTAAAAATTATTTAGGTAGAAATTCTAGGGAATTTTTTGTTATGAAATATAATGAGACACCGGATAGAAACGAAATTCTTTACGCTATGCGGCAAATATTTATTTATAAATTTTTATCAAGGTATTTTGTAAAAGAAAATAATGATTTGCGTATAAATATTATCTTATTTTTTCCAATAAATTTACAATTGTTTATAAAAATATGGATTAGTGACATAAAAGAACGGTTATTAATATATAAGATAAAGAATCACACGGCTTTATTTTCCATTAAAAATTAAATAACTTGAAAACTATTAATTGCAAAAAATTCAGATTGGTCTCATTATTTTCCTCGTAAAAATCTCTATAAATCATGTGCATCATGTCTTGATCTGCGATACGTTGTTTTAAAGTTATTTAATAAAAAAATGAGCTGTGAGAGTAGATAGATTACTTTTCCTCTGTTCCCATAAGAAATTTCGTTCCAAAAATTTATATTTATGATAGGATATATATTTTTCTCCATCATATTGTTTTCAGTAGGAAGTTAATTAATTTTTTCAGTAAAAAGCCACTTTAAAATTAAACCTCATTGAATAATTCTAAACCGCAACATTATTATTTTTTCAAGACCAACGAAAGAAAAACTTCAATTAAAAAATTTCTTGCTATCTAAACAAAGTTTTTTTTTTATTTACAATAAAAAGCAAGGCAAATTCATTAAACAGAATAAATTAATTGTAAAAACTCCTATTATTTATAAAAAATTTTTAATCAAAATGAAATCAACGAGCCTTCGTAAAATAAAAATAATTTCACAATCACTATTGTGAAAATGAATTCATAAGTGTAATCATCGAAATTCATTATTTTGAATCTGACAATAAAGTACGAAATTAAAAGCTATACAAAAGAGGAAATTGCACTAAATAGTGAATAATATTAAATCATAAATACTATGGTATTAGATATATATACATATATATGTTGGTGAAGATACGTCCTAGTTTGAATCCTATACCAATTGCAATGTTATCAATGCTCCAGTAAATCTAGACATGGACAATAAATCCATCGCTTGATGGTATCGACAACTAGCAAATTGGTTGGTTTATCAAAACTAACGATTTATTGAATAATTTGAACAATTATTTACTATTGATTATTAATTTAAAGTTTCACCATACTGCAAAAATATACACACACTTTTGATAAAAAAATCATCAAAAATATTTAAAATGAAAAAATGTAAAAACATGGTACAATTTGATTGAGTAATAATTGTAGCCATTGAACTTGATTTATAGATTATGAATAGATAATAATGTTATTAACATTCAATCGTGAGGGGTGTTCTTAAAGAATGTTCAAGAACAATAAATCCTAGACAATAATCTCTAGTTTAGTATGTGAATCTCGAAATCTCCCAACTTGTTACACAGCATTTCTAACTCCTATAAAAACATCCAAGTGCACCCAAGAGAATTGTATCTCACGTAAAACGACATCAGTTGCTTTAGATATAATAAAAGAAATGCGTTTGTGACATCAATACCAGTTGGTTTTCTCTTTGTTGTAATTTATTTAAATTCAGGATTTTATGCTATCGTAAACTTGAAGCAAACCTCGTCAACATATACACAAGCTTTTCATTCTATTTTTTACAGGCAAATTTATTTAACCAATCTTGGAAAAAAACTGATGTGGAAAATCTTGTGCAAGCAAACAACTATTTTTTTATCTTATCTACCTAGCTATATAATTAATTTCTAGATAAATTCTGTGTCGTTGACTCGAGACATATCTAAATCTATTTAACTAGGACAAATACCCTAGATCTTTTTTTTAAATTCTCCAGAAGATATTGTATGGTTTAAACATTTGAAATATTTATTCCTAAATCCCTTATTATTCATAATATTTTAGTTTAAAAATTATTAAACAAGGCAACGAATGTTTGTATTCATGTAAAGAAATTTTTTTAAATTTATCATTTACATGAATCATTTAATGTAAATTCAATACTTGAATAAATTTTCCATTGATGCTTTTTATACCACTATGATGTTGTTGATGACATGTGTGACTGACATCCACTTTTTACAATCAGATTTTTGTTTAACAACTTGGATAAATTGTTTCAACATGAATTTTTCACATGATACTGATAACATCGAATACAATGAAAATTCAATTTGATGCAACCAACCTAAAAGCTGATCGCATTACTCAAATATATAAAAACCAAGCTAACTGTTTGAAAGGCTAATTCAATATCATCAATAAATTCATAGTTTCAGATCTATTAACAATAAAAGGAGATGTTAATAACTGAATTTTCATAAATTTATTTTTGATAGTTATGACATTTCTAACTTCATAACAGCTTTTCGCACAAGACACTGGCAAAATCCTTCAATAAGTCCCCAAAGTGGTAATCAACTTCAAAATAAGTATCACCAGATTTATTTTAGTTTTACTTGGATAGAATTTTTTATCAACCATAAATGATTCAATTAAGAGTGCGGAAAATATATAACGTGATAAACTCCAATGTATAAAATAGTTTTCTCTTTCTGTCCATCCGTTACTACTCTTGACAGGAAATTTGATCAGAATGCTTTCACTGTAAATTGCTAGCATTTTCTTCCATGTCTAAATCTAACATGATGATCAATAAAGACAACAAATAAAAGTAAAAACTTACGTGGCTTTTATGCTCAGGGGTGGCAGGTGGATTTGGTGTGTTTGGCAAGGAACCCCCTTGCGGGGTGCAGTGTCGCAGTCGCGCCAGGGCTGTTCGAAAGCCCTCCGTCACGAGTTTCTTTTGTTCACCCTTGACAATTTTTATGGCTGGCCAACTTTCCTCGATGATTCCCAAAGCGACTACTGGCCAGTTTTAATGTCTTCTTACATTTGTTTTGTAGGTCTCTCACCACTTGGATGCTCATCAATCCACCCACAACTACCATCTCCTATTTGACTTTGTGGCCAACTTGGACCACATAGATTTCCACAAACAATGCAAACTGGTTGTTTCGGAAAACCGATGCCTCGAAATTCCTCCCTCAAAGTGTTTCGTTAATTTTAATACCTCTGGAAAGAGAAATAGATTGGTTAGTGATTGATCACACTAGAATTAAACTAGGTCAATAAAAGTAAATCGAAAGAGAATAAATTAAGAAAACTGAGAATTCTTCTATTTCTTTGAAGTAAAACTAGGCTAAGTGGTTTGGCTAATCGATCCGGATGAGGTCGATGTCCGCTATGAGAAACAGGACGTGCACTTAGTTTTTGAACACAAACAATTGTTCAAGTATGGCTTTTTACATTTATTTACTTACATTCAACTTTTTTCAAGGAGTTCACAAATTTATATTAATTGTCAATTTATAAAAACTTCAAAATTTAAATCATTTTCATCAAACTTTATAATTTATTGCATCAATAGCAACTTATCATTATTATAAAGTAATATTATTTTAATTTCATTTTTATTAATTCAAACAAATGACGTTGATGGTTTAATTTTATAAAATAAGTAGAAATATTCTAATCATAAACATTTGCTTGAATAATATTGGGTTATTAACTAAATAATTCAGGTCATTATATTCAAATATAAATTGTTAAAACAAATGGTTATAAGCATGTACATTATTTTTATCATCATCATCATGAAAACCTTTAGCTTAATTATGTTAATTTGTCTATTCAAGTACACCAATTTTCCTTGAGATTTTTTTATTTAATTATGCTGAAAGTTGTTATGATTATGTTATTTTGAAAATGTAAACATTGAATGAAGATACTAGAAGAAGAACCAGGTAGTGATGCCAAACTATCTTAAGAAAGTCTGATAAAATGTCATTTCTTTAGAAAAATGAAGAAAAAAAATCAACAAAGTTGTTTCTCAATAACTGTTTTAAATAAAAATGTCAATACGAGTAAAAAATTATTACAGTAAAAATAAAAAGTTAGAATATCTCAGAGAACATTTTCAATTTTTTAATAACTAAGTTTATTGCAGTGTGATATTTTCAGGGATCACTGGAGATCAAAGTTGAAAATGGTTTTATTTTTTTTTACAGAACATAACTTTATTAAAAAAAAAAGGTCATACGACGTTGAGATAGTAATATTTTTGAAGAAAATTAACCAACTCCATAATAATCAACATGGTTTTTCTCCAAGAAATTTTCTTACTTTCATGAATGTTCTTAAAGTAAGAAAAAATTTCGACATCACCCTTCTCCTTCTTTTTTTACCGAATAACCGAGGGAGGATAATAGTGACATGAAATTTTCAATGCCATTTTTTAAGAGAAAGCTTTTAAATGTACCCAAGTTTATTTAAATTCAACCTTTTTCACAAAAATTTACTTCTACTCATCCCATACTCATATACATTTCCCCATTTTTCGATGATATTCCATTTTTTCAAATAGTATCTATCATATAATGTAATACACCAACGAAATTATTGTTTTAAATATCATCAAATTCATTAAAAATATGATAATTTTGCTAAAAATAATTAGTAAAAATATCTCCCTTAGATGTATTTTACTAATATAAAAAAAGGAATAGATTTAATTAATTACTTTTGACACGATTACTTCTGTATCTAGATCTTTTTTTTCTATAATTTTATTCATATTGTAGCTTTTTCATTATCTAATAAGATTAAATTTTTTATTCAATTCTATATTTCTTTTAATTTTTACTTAAAAAAAATTCAAATTCATAAAGCAGCTGTGATGATTAAAATTGCACCTCAGCACTCTTTATATTCTCTCATGGAATTCTTAAAACTTTATGTCTCTAGAGTTTATTAATTATATCTTAATTATTTGTGAGCTTTAATGAATTTCATTCAATTAATGCATCTGTATTCTTTTGTAGAGTATTGAAAAAAAAATGGCTATTAAGCCTAAGATGATTCTAAAGACTATTATTGGTTTCTCTACAAATCTACAAAGAGGTCATTAAATGTTCGAGTGTATTAATTATCAATCTGGTTGTTGCTTTAATATCTAATTATTATCAGAACCAAATTAATTAGAAAGAAATAATTGAAATATTTTCATAGTAAATATTATTGATGAACTACAAATATTTGTATAATATGATGTATACTATGTGGCAGCATACTTTTATTATGCATCATCAATAGATCGAGTATGTGCTATTTTGGTTGGGTTTATAAATTGATATCCATTATTCAGAGGAGAGTGAAGTAATTACGTACACGAAGCAATTACGATTGTAACAAGTTCTATGTGATGGAGAAAGATTAACCAATTTCCATATAAAGAAATCATAAATCATATTCTCGTCAGAGAGAATATCACCAATTAAGTAATAAAATTAAAAAAAAAAATGGGGTTTCCTTCAATAATGTTCAAGGACAAAATATCCTTGGATGAATATTCGTATAAAATACACTTAATTCATAAAATTTTTATTTTTAATTTTTTCCTCGAAGTTCTTGAATTATTTCGAACGATTCTATAAATTATTTCGATTGGCCATCTCTCCCTTATGGCCGTCTACCCCGGAATTACCCTACTGAAAGGTTTGGTTCTTGATCCCAGAAAAGAGACCAATTCTGCAAGGGGGTTATTAATCAATTCACAAAAACTGTATAAGAAATTAATTTGAACCTAAAAAAATTCATTATTTTATTAAACATTTAAAGTGTTTACAATGTTTAAAGCCATAAACAAACTATACTAATTTTTTAGACCAATTTTGCAGCCTTTCTGATCGATCATAGAAATACTATAGTTTGTTCATGGTATTCAACATTTTGAACACTTAGGTGTTTTATTATAAAACACTTCAAGCGTTTTATTACTCAAAAAACTGTAATTTTTCCAGATTTTCAGTGTATATATTGAATAAGTGAAAAAAATTCTGTTGTTTAACCTATATTTTCTTCAACGAATTCATAATAATCTCTCTATTTTCAACTATCCATGTAATAACCATGAGTATGTTTGAAGTTAGAATTTCTTCCTTGATTCCCAGAAGTAGTTAATTTAACTTCAACTCCCGAGTGTATTTCAGGTTTATGTGTTCTATCACGTTGATATTTCTACTATCTTAACATATGTTTTTATTAAATTATTATACTATCTTCATATCTCTAATTTCTTTAACCACACCATTTTATTCATCCATACTAATATATAAATTTCGAGTGTCTGTCTGTCTGTCCACGCTAATCTCTGAAACGGCTAATCTAATTGCGACGAAACTTTGCAGACATGTGGAGGAGGTTGTCGGGAACGTTAAGAGATACTTTTTGTTTATATAAATTATTTATAACAATTAAATTTGTTAAAAATAATTACAAACGGAATCTATGCAATAAATTCAAGTTCTTCCCACGAGAAATTTTTTCTTTTATTAAAAAAAAAATTACCAACTACATTAAATAAAAGGATACGAATTTTTTTTGTTTATAACAATTGAATTTGTTTTAAATGAGTAAAAATTGAATCTCACGATGAAATTAAAATTTTTTTCATCTATTATTAATAGACACGATCCTATTACTTGTCTTTTAATTCCATCGCAAAGCAATACATATTTGAAATAGATCCATTCAAACTATAAAATTATTGTTCAAAACTTTACTCAATAAATCTATAATCATGTAACGTAATAATGTACATTAATCGTTTACAATGAATGAGAGATTTTTTTGATTAGCTGAAACAATATGGTTTTGAATTTTCGTGCATTAATTCTTTCAGTTAATTACTGTACATATCAGTCAAATAGTATCTACACAGATAAAATCATGGGTATAAGGTAGTTTCCATAATAAATTGAACAATGAATAGTAAAGTTGAATATATCAAATTCATTTAAGTATCTCAAGTGTTTCATCTATCAAGTCGAATATCTTTTAGCTTACAAGCTAGATAGAGTGTACATGTGTGTGAAAAAATCAATCAATTTCTTATAAGATAGATTAAGATACCTTTCAAGTTAAAATTAAACTTAAAAAAAACTTTGTTTTAATAATAAATAATATTATTATTATCATGAATTTCTTTTAAACTCAAAATAATTTTGAAATTATTTTTTTTTTTAATTTAAAAATCAAATGTCAACTTTTGAATTCCCTGTGGTTATCTTTTCTAAATTTACTGTATAATTTGTTTGTAGCAATTTACAATAAAAATACTTTCGATGTTATACGATAAAAGGTTTCTCGGACACTCGGATTTGCAGTACTTACGTTACCGTCTGAATTATTTCTTTAAGGATAGTCTTCGAATGAACATCAGAAAGTCGTGAATTGAGCATTTACTTAACTGATTTAGAATCAAGGGCTGTTGTTATCCTTCATATAATTGTTCAATCAGTTAAAGAAGGGTTTGATTTATGCTTTTTATATATCCACCGTCATATTTCTGATTTATAAATTCTATTTATTAAATTTAAAACTCTATTTTGATTTTTTGATCTCTTTATTTTTTTCAATAATTTTTTAATTATCATATAATAAAAAAAAAATTAATCTTAATCGAAATACTTTAAGTTTCTGTTGGTTTTTTTTTAAATTAAAGCTTTAATATTTTAATAAAGAAATGCTTGAACATTTAAGTGTTATCTATAACCAAATATCTACAATGTTTTTGTTTTATTTGATAGTTTTTTTATTTATTTAAAAACTTTTACGAAGTTAAAGAATGTAAGCTTTAAAATCGATACTTTGTTTGCAGAAAAAAGTATTAAACTATTTTATATTTATTTTATAAATAGTTTATCATATTTCTATCAATTTTTTTAAGCAAGTTTGTTTATCTATTTTCTAAAAATAAATAAATAATTTTTAGTGACTTTCATTCATTTTATTTTAAGAAAATCATTTTTTTTTTCAACTTTGATAGAATTATTGTAAAAAAAGATGTATTTTTGAATGGAAAAAGTATCAGAACAAAAATTTTAATATTATTTGAAAATTATGCAACACGAAAATCGCATACTTTTCTCGAATACCCGATATGAATGTTAAAAACATACATTGGCAATGTTTTATCCATAATACAATGTATAAATATTTGTTTTCATTTATTC